AAACAGGCAGCTGCCTCCAGCTGGTAAGTCTGTTGGGGTTGAAGGAGGGAAGGGGTGTGGGGGAGGGAGGGATTAGGGCTGGGACAAGCTGCCCAGCCAGGGTGGTGGGGCATGTTATTCAGGGAGGGGAGTGGGAGGGGGCATGGGATACAGGCACAGCAGTGCTTGAAGCAGGGGCTCTGACCTGCTGACACTTGTCCAGGTCAGGAGGCGTGACGGGGCAGGAAACGGGCACGGATCGCTCCGGCTGGAAGGGTGCAAGTGGCAGCAGAGGAGAGCCCTTGTTCCCGGCACTGCTGCACTCACATCCCATGCTCTGCCACGCTGGCTGGCAAGTGGCAGCAGCGCAGAGCCCCTGCTCCCAGCTGTTCTGTGCCCGCATCAGCACTAGGAGCGGGGACTCTGTGCTGCCACTGCTTGCCAGCCAGCATGGCAGGGCATGGGATGCAGGTGTGGCAGCACTGGGAACAGGGTCTCTGCCCTGCTGCCGCTTGCCTCCTTCGCTTGCCCCCTTCCACCCAGAGCGAGCTGCACCCGCATTCTGCCCACCTCTCCCCTCTGGCTGGGCAAGCGACAGCAGGGCATAGACCCTGCTCTGAGTGCTGCCGAGCTCACATCCCATGGCACACCCCCCCCGGCTGGACAGCTTGTCCCAGCCACAGCCTCAATCCCTCCCTTCCCCATGCCCCTTTCCCTCTCCCCTTCCCCACCCCCAACAGACTGGTTAGCTGCCTGTTTAGTCTATGGCTGAATTGCCGAATCTTTTCCGAATTGATTTGGATACTTTGAATTGATTCGGAGCTTTTAACTGGTCTCCTGATTCGATTCAGAGATTTGGTCCCTGAACTGGGCCGAATCTCCTCCAAATTGAATCAGCTACCAAAACTTCGCACAGCCCTAGCAGGCAGCACTGGGAAGTTCAAAGAATTTATAAGAGAAACAGTGTAAAAAAGTTCTCCGTCTCAAAATCTGGGAATACACCAGGGATGGCCAACCTGTGGCAAAGTGTCATGAGCAACCTCTGGGTGTGGCATGCATCATATCAGGCAGGGGACAAGAAGCACAGTAGCAGATAGGGCAGAAGGCACAGGGGAGAGAGTTGAAAGCTGAGCCACAAATTGCTTTCTGCTTCCTGTCCTGTTCTCCACACCCAGAGCTGTAGATCAGGCAGAGGAAAGGGATTGGAGTGGTACTTGGGGAGGGTGCAACACTAATCTGTTAGGCCTCCCAAAAAGGTTGTCCCCCACTGGAGCAGGCAAAACTATCCAAATTGAAGCGTTCTTGCTGTGGAACTGCTTGGAGTTTTCAGATCTGTGCAATGCTCACTGCATAGAAATCTTTCAGGCTACAATGTTACGACCCACCTCAGACAAGCTCATCTGGATACACCTCATTATAATGGAATTTAACTGAAAGGAGCAGCCCAGATTGCCCAGTTTGACTGCAATCCGAGTAGAGAGATAAAAATAAATGCAACAAGCACACACTGAATAGTGATATGTTTGAAACCACCTCCTCAAGCAGCTGGTGCACTGAGGGTACGATGTGCTTAGTCACTCAGAAGTGATGCCCCCCGCCAGGTTGTGATTTGACATGAAGAAGCAACTACATAAGAAATCACATGCTGGAGGCTGACTGTTAGCAACGTTCAACAGGAAGGACTTGCAGTCAGCCAGGTTTGTCCTCATCATCATCATCAAGGGCAGAGTGTCTCAGGGACTTAGAGTTATCATTCAAACAACTTAGTATAGAAATAGAATATAACCCCCCTCCCCACAGGCATTTGAATAATGTAATATACCAATTCTGTACAGAGATAGCTGCTTACATCCTCCACCTCTTCTTTGGGTTCTCGTCGGGCAACAATAACTTCAGATTTCACCCTAGAAGGCAGAAGAAGAAATTAAACAAACCAATGAGTAACATGCTGGTACATGTTGCTGGTCTGAGAGACCTACACATAAAAGGAGGTGTAAAGAAGTACATCATATTTTCACCACTTTGAAACTATGAGCAATATGTCC